GGCTGTTTGTGTCATTTGACCAAGAAGCCAGGTACGGAACAGTGACCTCATTCTACATTGCACAAGATGTGTGTCATACAGGCAGTCAGTGTCACCAAAGTTTTCTGTAAACATTGACAATGATCTGAGGCACACGGGCCAGTCCCCAGCGGTTCTGGGAAAAATTCTTTGTAAAGTAGGAGGTGCCGGCCTCTGGCTCCCACCGGGTACAGCGATGACCCTGCAGAGGTCATGGCTCCGGGTGACTCAGCCACAGGAAGTGCCCCGTTCCTCTGCGGGTTGGCTTTCCCAGCAGCTTTCTGGGAAGATTCTGAGGCTGAGGCTTCAACTACACGGAGGTCATGAGGTTTGAAGCCCTCAAGGGCCTGGGAGCTGGTGGTGGGGGCTCTGCCTCCCCCATGAGCCCTTAAGCGTTAGGCTGGGGCTGCTTGGCTGGGCCTGGCAGGTGGCAGCCCTGGTTCTGTTGCCTATGGATATTCCACTCCCTGCCTTCACGTTTCCTCTGGGAATGGAGGAGCAGGGGAGACAGCTGAGTACATGAATGGTGGGGAATTTGCCTGCCTAAATCGAGCCTTGGCTCTTGGCTTCTCTCTGAGTCCATCACCATCTTGGTGGCAGAAAACAATAGTTGTCTAGTCTCGCGTGATTCCAGAGCGGGGAGACAAAAGAAATCCCAGTGGGTGAGGTTACGATGCTGCCAGAGGTTCTGGCGTGGAATTCGTTCTTTGTTTCTCCCAGTTCTGGTGTTCCTTAGCTTGTGGCTGCCTCCCTCCAGACTCAGCCTCCATCTTGGGGTGACCTTCCACGTGGATCTTTTGTCTCTCTCAAACTCCTGTCATTGGACTTAGGGCTCACCCAGGCAAGCTGAGATGATGGCTTCTCAGGAGCCTTCATTTCATCTGTAAAGACCCCTTTTCCAAGTGAGGCCACACCCACAGCTCTGGGGTGGAGGGCTGTAGTTGTAAGGGGCCTCTTTTCACCCATCATGTGCTCAGCAATGGAGGGCAAACATGGGCCTACTGGAGCGTACAACCCCCCTGGCTGGTGTGGGTTGTGGAGCTGAGTACCATGTTGCAAAGGAGACTGGCAGCTAATGAAGGTCCAGCAGGGCTTGGACCTTCTACTCTGCCAATTCCACGTGGCAAGAAATTTACTTGCTCCACTTTGCAGGTGAGAAAACTAAGGTTTTGGTACTGATAAGTGGCAGGATACGGCTGGAGTTTATTCCCTGCGTGCAGGCTGTGCAAGCAGTGTTGTGCTGAGAGTCATATGAGGTTTAAGTTCTCTGTCCCTGCTGAGGTGTGGCTTAACCTCCCCGGATTTCAGGCAGACCTGTTCTTGCACTTGGAAATGTGGGTCTAGCACCTACCACCTTAACATCATCCAGGAGTCACTGGCAATGCGAACTCTAAGGCATCTCCTTACCTGTCCTATCCCCCACCACTCACACCATTCTGTGTCAGAATCTGTGTTGACACAATCCCTGAGATTAAAGGAAGCCTTGGAGTCAGTTATTCCCACAGCAGCTTCACCTCCATGGGTGAAAACTGGACCCTGAGGTCCACACACACTCATGAGTAAGGCCTTCTCTTTCTTTAGCCCTTGATGGAATGACACAAGGGGCAGGTCTGTTTAGAAGCAGCCTGGGAACTGGGGAGGGAGCAGCCGAGAGGCCTGGAACCCCAAGAAAAGGGGCTGGCAACCAGCATCAGCAGCAGGGTCAGGGTGGGAAGCTGCTCTAAGTCACCCCAATCTAGCACTTGCTAGGCACCTTAGCAGCTGCCTAGGATACCAGGAAAGGAAGGATGTTATAAAACCAAGGAGCTTTTTTGACTCTGAGTCACTTCGAATAATTCAACATTATCTACTGGCATTAGCCTGACTTAGGAGGGGAGGGGCTGCTTTTCAAGTAGGGTTTCTCTGTGCACTCCAGCAGCCCCTTGCCCCGTGTGGCCATTGAGCACACTGAGTGGGGCTGGTCCAACAGGAAGCGGCCTGGAAATGGAGAGTAGGCACTGGATCTCCAAAACTTGATGTGAAAAGCAGGTCGTAAATTAGCTCATAACTAACTGTATGTTGACTACCTCATGGAGTGGTATTTTGGATGTAAAATTGGGATAACTATATTATCAAAATAATGCATTTCAGTTGCTTTTTTTTCTTTCAGAATATGTCTTCTCAACAATTTAAAGTGATCCATATGACTCCCTGCATGGCTCTTGAAAGCACTACCTTAGACATTTAAATCCAGCCTCAGCAAGGTGGATACATCAATGAAATGAGTACATGGTTTGGGAGGCAAATTTTGCCAGTAATACAGTTTAGCTATAGTTTGTACTCAACAGGGGAGGGATTTCAGACCTCCAACCGAATTAAAGCTCTCCCAGTTTCTAAGAATTTAGCCCTCATGTTGTAACCTTATTATCTTGAACATGACTTTTAATAGTCAAGCCTCAATACTTCTCATCTGCTAAGTAGCTAGGATCATGCCAAATTTTCAGGATTGGGAAGATCAGACAAGGTGTGTGTGTGTGTGTGTGTGTGTGTGTGTGTGTGTGGCATTCAGCTTAGTACCTGATGCCTGGTGGATCTCACCTTGTGACATCACCCAGAGGGGAGAAGAGGACCTTGGTGATGTTGGCAATCAGCAGATGCTCCATGTGTGCCGGTTAAACCAAACTCACATGATGGCTTGGAACCCGAGGATTCATCACGAACCCTGACTGAGTCATCCCCGTATCCGCTTCAGCTGCTGTCTCTCTGTCAAGGCCAGGTGTTAGGCCCCACAACAGGACAACTGGGGCATGGGCTTGGAAAGCACCTGGGAGACCAAGCTCAGCCATTCAGCAGCTCCTGCAGCCGCAAACATCCTGCTGCATTCCCGCCCAGTGCAGCCAGCCTCCCAACAGCTGCTGTCTGAGGCAGGGACTGTGCAAGGCTGTGTGAAAGGAATAGCCCCTCCAGAGCTGCCCTCCGCTGCCCCCAAGCCAAGCAGCTCTTTGTCATCTTTGATTCTCTCTGCATCACGTGCCTGCTCTCCCTCCCCCTTCCCTTCTCTCTCTCTCTATCTCCCTTTCTCTCTCTGGTTGATTCAAGAATGCTTAATATGGAGAAATTCCTTCTACCACTTCCGGACCAGATCTTCTCCAACTCCAACACCCTGGGGTCCTCCTAACACTGGGTGGTTCTTCCCATGGTGGCAGAAAGCTGACTCATGGCAGCTCTGTCATGGGTGCCAGGGTTTCCCTCTGAAGCAGAATGAAGAAATCTGGACCATATCTATTCTTTCATGACATTCTTTCCACTATTTTACTTCTAAATACCCTTACATCACTTGGATTGGCAAAATATTATGTGGGGTAGAAGAAGGTGCATAGGAAAGGTCGTGTATCCTGTGGTTCTGTTTCTAGGAAATGCACAGAATGGGCAAACCCTTAGAGACAGGAAGTAGTTTGCTGATTGCCTGGGGGCGAAGGGAAGGACTGCTAATGGGTGTCAGGTTTCTTTTGGGGGGTGATGGAAGTGTGCTGGCATTGGTTGCCCTACTCTGTGACTATATTAGAACATGCTGAGTCCTATGCTGCAAAAGGACCATTTGGAGGGAATGTGAATTACATCACAACGAGACAAACAAGAGTTCGATAAAACATCCCATGAGCTCAGTTGGCTCCTCCCAGCTGTTGCTGGCACTCAGCAGCATCTTTGACCCCACCCCCTGCACTACTGCAGTTGTGTGGGTGTGGCCCCATTGAAATAATTCTGAATTAGCAGAGCTTGGAATGGGTGAGAGAAACAAGTTCAATCTCCGCATTCACTCCTTACTGCCTTTGTGACACTGGTAGTGTTAGTTATGCTGTTAGGGCCTTACTTTTGCCATCTAAAAATGGGTTTCTGTGAGAATAACTTAACAATATTTCACATATGAAATGCTTGACTCAGGGGCCAGCACTGCGTTCTAGCACATTAAGCCTCTGCCTGAGACACTGGTATCCCAAATGGGCCCTGGCTTAAGAACTGTCTTCTTATTTTTCAATCCAGCTCTGCTAGTGTACCCGGAGAAACAGCAGAACACGGCCCAAGTGCTGGACTCCTGTCCCCATGAGGGAGACTCAAAAGAAGCTCCTAGATACTGATTATAGCCTGGTTCAGCCCCAGCCCCAGGTGTTGCAGCCATTTGGGAAGTGAACCAATGGACAGATTATCTCTCTCCCCACCACTTTCTCCTTTGTCTTTCTCTTTCTATCCCTATATCTCTACTCTCCTCTCTTCTCCCCTCCTGTCCTACCCTCCCCTTCTCTCCTCTCCCTTCCTGTCCTCCCCTCCCCTTCTCTCCTCTCCTTTCCTCTTCCAAGTGGCTGCAATGGTCAGAACTGAGCCCATCTGAAACTAGGAGCCAGGAGCTTCTTCCAGGTCTCCCACGCAGGTGCAGGGTCCAAGGCTTTAGGCCATATGGGATCCTGGTGTGCGCAAGGCTAGGACTTTGGCAACTAGGCAATTGCACTGGGCCCTGCCCTTTGATTCTTGACCTGGGCCATTGTTTTGCATTCATTTGATTTATTCCTAGATGCACCTTCCAGGTCCCCATAGTCCAACTCATTATACCCAACTCCCCACCACTTCTTGTATTTCTCATGAAATTTCCCCTACTTGCAGGGCAAGTTAAGTGTCACAGTATCTGACTTGTAACTGATACATAGACTCTTGAAAAATCATAGAATCTAATAACTTTGAGACCTTTAAAAAAGAGATTGTTAGACACGAGCAACTTGAGTTAGCTTGAAAATCACAAGGCAGATTGGAGGTTACCTGCTTCATGCTGTGGGAAAGGTGATTTTGAAATCAAGCTTAATCAACTTCCAAACAGTAAAATAACAAAATGGCTTTCGTACCCATTCCTTTGCAGGCTTTGTTCAGCTTTTTGACATCTCGATCCACATCAAAACCTTGCTGACTTCTTCCTTTGGTCTAGAGAAAATAGTGGAAACAGTGAGTAAGCAATGCAGGCGTTTTCAATCATCTCTGGCTGAAACTTGTAGCTACGGTGAAGCCCCAGTAGTCATCCAGACAAGGGACCAGCAGCCACTCTGTATGTGAGTACACGTGGAACCCAGCAGGGAAGGCTCCGGCGCCAGAGGGCGGCTGGTACTCCTGGGCACTGGCTGGCCTTCGCTGACCACAGGATAATGGCTGCCTCTATTCTTAGGAACAATCAGTCTAGCCAGCTCGACCATGTGCGATCTTCATAGCAAACCCAGCCTTGTGCGTCTGTGGCTGAAGCTCCAAGCTTGCAAGGCACTGCTCTTCGCCTTTGGGCATGGGCCCCAAGCACAGCTTTTACCTGCCAGAAACTGAAGATTCTACATTCTGGCTGCAAAATCCACTTGGTAATGTGGACCTCTGTTGTCCATAGAATGAAATGTGATTGAATTTGCAGATACTACATGAACCAGTCAGAACACTTTGCTGTTTTGTTTTGTTTTGTTTTGTTGTTTTTAGTGGTGTGGAACAGAGAAAGGTGTCTTTACATACTGAGATATTTCGCAGACTTAGTCACTGGCATACTGCACAGCTGCTGGTATCTGTACGTTTACTTGCTTATTACTCTCTTTTCAACTGATTTTTGTTTCAATGTACAGTTGCTAAAACAAACAAACAAACAAACAAACCCTCATAGAAATTGAGAGTCTAACAGTGGTTATCAGAAACTGGGAGGGAAAGGATGGAGACAGGTTGATGAGTGGGTGCTTTCATCTGGATGAGAGTAGGAAGTTTTGATGCTCTGTTGCACAGTAAGGTGATTTTAGATAATCCACTTCCGTTGGAAGACAGGATCTTGGATGTTTTGCCAGGAAGAGTTGTTAAATATTTGAGGATATAGATATATTCACCTTGATTTAACTTTATACAATGTGTACTTTTATCAAAACATTGTGTGTTTGGAGCTAACATTATGGTATAGTGAATTAAGCCATCAGCCATGACACTAGCAATCCAATGGGTGTTGGTTCAAGTGCTGGCTGCTCCATTTTCAATCCAGCTCCCTGCTAATGGGCCTGAGAGCAGCAACAATTGCCCTAAGTGCTTGGGTCCATATTCGACACTTGGGAAACCTGGATGAAGCTCCTGGCTCCTGCCTTTGGTTTGGCCCAGTCTGGGCTGTTGGGGCCATTTGGAATTGAGTCAGCAGATGGAATATAATACCCTCTGTCTCTGTAGCTATGCTTTTCAAATAAATACTTTTTAAAAAATCACATGACTATCTATATCTATATCTATATCTATATCTATATCTATATCTATATCTATATCTATATCTATATCTATATCTATATCTATATCTATATCTATAAAGTTTCTTAAAATCCTACCCAAAAAAACCCTTCTATTAGCATGGAAATGGAAACAGAGGGTAACTAATAATGAATACATCATAATTAAAAACATATCACTATGCTTGGCACAGCTACATAGCAGGCTGATCTACCACCTGTGGCACAAGCTTCCCATATGGGTGCCAGTTCGTATCCTGGCTGCTCCACTTCCAATTCAGCTCCCTGCTGATGGTTTGGGAAATCAGCAGAAAGGCCTTGGGCCCCTGGAACAAGTTCTTGATTCCTGCCTTTGGATCAACCCAGCTCTGGCCTTAATGGCCATCTGGGGAGTGAACCAGCGATGGGAGGTCCTATTCTTTTATTCTCCCTCTCTCTCTATAATTATGACTTTCAAGTAAAATAAGTAAATCTTAAAACACACACACACACACACACAGCACTATTGGCTGATTGCAGCTTTGTAGCGAGTACCCTTGAGCACGCCCTTAGTTTCTCAGTTCTTTGCTTTTCTGTACCTCCATGAGGTGCCTTGTGTCCACTGAATGAGTTCCTATCCTTCAGTGAGGCTGGTTCGCCTGTGCTCCCTGTAACCTGAAACCATTCTCCCTGCTTTCAAGTGCTTTGGCTCTGGTAGGAATGAATACAGGATCCCACACAGCCCAGGCGCCAGGTTATATGTATCTGCTTGGCATTGTCGTATCCTTTGGGTCATTTCTTTTTCTCCTGTTCATACAGGGTCACTGGGGGATGTTAATCATGAAGACTGATCCTCAACACCCAGCCCTCTGCTGCTCCCATGTGTATGGGCCCTGTCACCCTGCTGGCTCAAGAATGGGGACATACTCCAAGTGGGATCATTTAGTCTTTTCCTTGGTTCATTCATGGAGCGAGGTATGTGTCTTTCCCTATCGAGCTTGCCAGACTGAGAGAAGGTGAATCTAGGGTGGTCATGAGATAAAAGGAAGAGAAGAGAGGGACAGAGAGGTGGAGACTGATTGCCCTTGTATATACAGAAGTGCCTATGTTCTTTCCCTCCCAAGTTTCATTACCTAACCAACTTCCCCTTTGTCTATGTGAATGTGGGTTGGGTTTTTGCACTTATAGCTCAACATGTTATCATCCCTTTGGTCTGAAGGAGTAGTGGCTTCTAGGCCTTGTGTAATGGAGGCTATTAGGCTACTAGATCCAAAGAGGTTATCAGGGTCCCTTGTTACTCCACTACCTTTGGGAACAATGCCCAACCTGAAGAACCTACTGCTGAGACAAGCCCAGAGTAAGTGCATGTCAAGCAATTTATAAATCTGTTTTCCTCGTCCATAGGGAAGAGTATTTGTTAGTGATGCCTTACAGGTAGAAACCTGGGGCAGATAGGCTAGGGAACTTGCCAAAGATCTTCTAAGACATAGTTCAACGTACGTTCCACCCAGTTCAACATAAATTCCAACGCTCTTATTCTACCAAGTGCACCATCCTGCTTTACATTTTATGGTTCCCATCGTTGGGCAAAGGAATTAAATATTCTATCCCATTTTCACTCTCCAAATCTATTGTGGGGTAAAAGGGAACTACTTTGTGCTTTTGAAGACTTGTTGGCAGGACAGTTGTATTTTTTTATGGGGCTCAGTGCAGGGCTCCTTGTTCAAATGTATTGAGAATTTCATTATGGTGACCTTGGCTGTGAAGTCAAGCACTGGGACCTTCTGGGCATGCGCCCCTGTGGATTGCACAGGCTACAGCCCAATGAAGCTCATCTAGTTTCTGATCAGATTCTTCAGGTTCAGCCCTGCAATGTCCAGAGTATGTGGCCTTTGCTTTCCCTCAGAAGGCCTGGGAGGACTCAGAGATGAAGTAGTGCTGAACCAGAGGGCAGACACATTGCACTACCAGAGCACTTCTTAACTGTTCTGTAGACGGCACCAGGCCTCAGCAGTGCAGGGACTTTGCTAGGACATTTACCCAGCCCATTTCACAGCTGAGAAACAGGCACACAGCTCTCTGAGAGTGGCTGTGTAGGTGAGGCCCTGGCCAAGGGTCCTGACCAAGATGCCGGTGGCTGGAATCCAGCTGAGGTTGCTGGAGGTTTTCATAGCTGCACTCCTCTAACCCTCCTGCCCCAGGCATCCCTTTCTAGATTACATGAAGAAGTTGCAGGGACATGCCAAGGCCAGGCAGGACTTGTTTCAGATCACCTGGCTGGAAACTGGCTGAGTAGGAGCCAGAAGCAAGACTCTGACAGGTACAAAATATCACTCCTGCCCATGCCACTTCCTGTTTGAGGGAAGTCGTTCTTACATACAAGGATCATAAAAATTCTGAGATGAGGGAAGGCCAAGGAACCCTTGGAACATGTTCAGCTATTTTTTTTTTTAACTCAAGGCCCCAAAATGAGTCAGTTAACTGTTCCTTGTGAGCAGATTCACACTGATCTACAGGTGTGCAATGGGATGAATGAACGTGCTAGGAATGAAGATGTCAACAGTACTGAGTGTTTTACGAATCACGCAAGGCAGGAGCCTAGCGTTACGTCATGGGTTCTGCCATTTCTGGGGCAGGTGAAGTCACGCATGTCTGGCCTTTACAGGAAGCACTGTTAGCTGTGTTTGTTACCTTTTCTGATGTATTGGGGAAAAAATTCAGCTTTATTCCTTGTGACAGCAGGATAGATGATGTAGGAGCTAGGGGTCATGTGCTGAGAGAGAACAGAGTCTGGAAATTTTCCTGCCACATGGCTGGGCTAAGTCCACAGTGAGCCATTCATCAGGGACTTCCAGTGCTGATACCAGGGTTGTTCTCTGGCTTGTTCTGATGAGCTGGATAAGAAACTTCTCCTCTGGAACATCCTGCATCCATTGTTCATTGTTAACAAGGCAGGCACTGGCTCTGGGGCTTCAAGCCTGTTTGCTTTCGGACCCAAAGCTGCTGAGTGGCAAGCGGGGCTGCAGGTGTGATGAGGAGATGCAGAGGCTTGGTGCACTTGGGGCTCTACCTAGGTCAGACTCACTTGTGAAACTTCATGTGAACACGTGGATATTCCCTTTGCTTCCAGCTGTCAGGTGTGCTACAGGTAGCTCTTGCACTGTCACTCAAGAAATAGACCAAGATGGGCCCGGCGCGGTGGTGCAAGTGGTTAAGGTTCTCGCCTTGCATGCCCAGGATCCCATATGGGCGCCGGTTCTATCCCGGCAGCCCTGCTTCCCTTCCAGCTCCCTGCCTGTGGCCCGAGAGAGCAGTTGAGGACAGCCCAAAGCTTTGGGACCCTGCACCCGCGTGGGAGACCCGGAAGAGTCTCCTGGCTTCAGATTGGCAAAGTATCGGCCGTTGTGGCCGCCTGGGGAGTGAATCATCGGACGGAAGATGTTCCTCTCTGTCTCTCCTCTCTGTATATCTGCCTTTCCAATAAAAAAATAATAAAAATAAATCTTTAAAAAAAAGAAATAGACCAAGGTACCAGTAAGAGAGGTGTCCGTCATACTAGTGTAAGTTCTGGGCATTGAGCCCATTAGCATCCTGGGGTGAAAAGGGGTTCTGCCCCTTAGCAGCCAAATGAACTCGGACCATTAACCTTCAAGTCACTACTTCCTCATCTGCAAAGTGAGGAAGGTTCTATCTTGAGCAGACATTGAGGCTTCCATGAAATAACATTTTCAGTACCAATCGCGGACCAGCTCTTTTTTTTTTTGTCTCACAATGATATGCATAAGATTTCATAATGTTATATTTATGTAAATTTCAATTTGTCATATTTTTGGTCAAGTTTGGAAGTTTATCTATCTATGTATGTATGTATCTATCTATCTATCTATCTATCTATCTATCTATCATCTACCTATCTATCTTTCAATCATCCTTCTTCCAAAGTTGTTGAGTAAACATATCACCATGTCCCAAGCAATATCAGAATTTATAGTATGTTGCCTGTAAGGCGATAGTAGTTTGAGTTTAAGAACACATCTTTCTCGTCAGATTAAACTGAATTCCCAGCTTATTATCTGTGTGACCTTGGGCAAATTACAGAGCCTGCTTGTGCCATGGTTTTGTCATGGCAAATGGCGATGATGATAGTGCCTCCCTCATAAGGCTCTTGGGAGAACTGAAATGAAGTCATTTATGCAAAGCATGTAAGGTGAAGCTGTGCAGAGAACATGGGCTTAATACACAGGTAATATCTTTGAATTTTCCACAATGTTCCAGAACCTTTCTTGCTTGAGTTTTCATTGCTTAAATGCCACTTTGAGGATCATTATTTTCACCCATCATCCATGGCCTGGATCTGGAGTTCCAGGTATGTATTTCACACAGGACAGGATGGTGGTTCGAAAGTCTGGCTGACGAGTGCTGTGGCCTGAGGTGACACCTCTGTACTACTCTCTTGTGAGCTATTTCATTTGACAAGTGTGAGAATTCACAGCTCCCTGAGTGTGAATCTTTCACTGGGATGCAGCTCTGGGCAGATGCTGGCCATCACCCCAGTAGATCAGGCTGCATCAAGCAATGAAGTCATCTCCATGTGAGACATGACCTGTGAAGGAGGAAGTTGGGGCATTTGGAGCTCCAGCTGTCTCTCTTCAAGTAAGTCTACGTAACATTCTGGATTCCCTCTTTGAAAACAAGGAAGTAAATCATCCATTTCCCTCCCACCCTTCCCCCGAAGGAAGAGGGGCATAGCACAGAAAATAAATCTAGAGGCAGTGATCCTAGATGTCACATAGACGGAAAGAACGCTAAACATGCTCAGGATCCGCTAGGTCACTCACTCTTGTATCACATTCCTGAGATGCCCCTCACCTCAAAGGACCAGAGAAGAAAAACAGATACCCCTCAGCCCTAGCTAAGCATCTTCTGTGCCAGTCATATTCAACGCAGTCTTCATTCATGGTAAAAATGGAATATTCTAGGCAAGCCTTCCTTCAGGTTGCAGCAGATTCTGGGGAGGGAGGGAGTTTGGCAAGTGAGATGGTTTGCAAGTTGCTTGCTCTATGTTTTACAAAAAAAAAATCATCAAGATCGTTCCGGAACACAACCTGAAGTACTCTCACACCCATAAGTCCTTGTGTCTTGATTTTCTATTTGGCGAGCAGCATTAAGTTTTGTAAGAGACACGTGAATTAATCTTCTCTCATTGGTTCCTCTCTTCTGCTTCTCCTACTTGCTTTCCCCCATCCTCTCCCTTTCTTCTACACAAAGATCTTGTCTTGAGCATCAAATCCCATCCGTAGTTGAGATGACCATCTGTCAAACACTGTCCTGTCCCCAGGGAAATGAAACTCTAGACAGGTAAACGACAATTGCTTTGTGATACCATCAGTGCTGTGAGTGCTCATGACTTTGAGAGGAGAAAAGTGTTTTCATGAAGGAGATGACATTTGTGCTGGCTGTTGGAAGATAAGTAGGAGTTAGGCAAGCTTAAAAAAAGAGAAAAAAAAGTGGTGTTGGGGAGGGGTGGAGGTGAGGGAATGGCCTGCCAGCAGCATGGTGCTTTCAGAGCCTGCACATTGGTGTGGTGACCGTGATTGGATTTGATTGTGTTGTGATAGTCCCCACTGTGTGGATTTGGGAGTCCTACTGTGTATAGCAGCTGCTGCTTTGCATGATCCCCAGCAAGCTGACTCCTCCCTGAGTCCTAACTGTTTCATCTTTAAAAGTGGAGAAGCCCTGCTCATGGAGTGGCATGAGGTTCAGGTGCAGCCTTGTGTGGGAAGCATGAGCAAGGTGCCAGATTACCGTGAGCACTCTGCTGGCAGCCTGCTAGCAGGTAGGGTGCATGGTGTCATAGGGTGATGAGGGTCATTAGTACATCTGAGATATTATCAAATTGCAA